ACAATAAAGCACTATCTCCTCCAGGCATTCGAAGAACGTAACGACTCACCGGCTCGACAGACAGTGACGAAGTCATCGAAAAAATGGGTCATCATCAAGGCCAGGCACTTAACCGCCAGCCACCATAAGCTGCGCGCTATCCTAAGATAACCATAGACCGCCCTGCTTGCCCCAAAAGGTAGGGCGTACATGCGCCTGACAACGGGCCCTTTGGTCTGCGGATCAAAATAGCCAATGTTCGAAAATTTCAAGCTCCCGTCTGATACAGGGACTTGGCGATACGCCGACTTAAGATCCACGCACTTTCCTTCAAGGTCCGTGTCTGCTGGAAACTTTTCAAGAAGGGCCAGGCAAAGGCTGCCGAGCAAATCAGTGGACTGGGGCTTTGGCGACTCGGTCTTTTGAACAGAAGCATTCAGCCCCGAAGCTGAGCAATCGTCGATCACTCTCGCCTTACCCTTTTGAAGGATGGCGAAACGGCGATTAATCAAAGAGTCTGGCTCCAAAGAATCCGGATCCAGAGGTTCCGACACCCAGCCTTTCTGAGCCTTGTCGAGGGTCTTTTCTGCGATGATCGAGTCAAGGGGCGAAGGCTTCGAAGCCTCTTCAAGGACACGCTTTCGGATGGCAGGGGCCTCCTCACCGAGTTTCTCAAGCGATTTCTCTGCCGGCTTGAAGCACGGTGGGAACACACCCGAGATCGGGACTTGCCCCTCCAAATCAACCCCATCCCTCATCAAAAACACCACTCCTGGATCCGGATACTTGTAGTGCTCCAACAGCTCTCCATAGAGGAGAACACGCTTGCCCGAAAGAACCGCTGCTCTGTGGGGAGGCAGGGACTTGTGCAATTCTGGAATTTGTCCGGAAGTGGCACTGTTGGGTCATCCCACAACGCGAAAGCCAGTCCGCGTCATCGTTCTTCTCGCCAGAGACATGGCCAACATCACGCTCAATGCCCGTGAGACATGCCAACATGCAGAGCTTCTTCAAGAATGCTGACAGGGGGAAGTGTGAGCTGTAAAGCTTATTGGTGCCTGCCTTGGCCCCTGTGTTGTCGGACAGGGTGCGCATGCGTACGACCCAGCGCGCTGAAGGAACCACGGAGCGTAGGCACAGCATAAGGCCAAGCTGAGCGAAGGCCTCATAACAAGCGATGTCGCGATGCGCTGGGCGTTGCAAAGGCAAGCCAAGAACCGCCAAGTCGTCTAGGGTCCAGGTCTGACTAAACCAAGTACAAGGACCCTCTTCCCATTGTATGAAACCCCCTATGCCTATTAAATCCCCATCTGCCCTGGCGTCAGCAGCCGCCAAGACCCCAGGGCCTGCTGGAGGCTTTTGAAGGGGAAATAAAGTGGCGGCAAGTCGCACCACCACTCGAGCCAAAAGGCAAGGCTCTCCCTACTGGACGCACTGAGTTTGCGGCGTGTGGTGGAAGGGTCCGTGACGCGCATCCAAATCCTCTTGGATGTAGGCACTTTGGCCAAATCCTTCTTGCTGGACAAGGCCATGTGACGAGCCTCCAAGAGGCGGCTGCCGGGGGTGATAGACGTGCCTGGAGGCGTAGCGACAAAAATTAGAGAGTCATTAAGGTATAAGGCCAAGCCTGGCCAATCGCCTGGCGCGATGCTGTGATTTGTAGCTAGGGGCCTGTTGGCATCTGCATAGATGGGCTGCAACCAAGGCTTGAAAGGACGGAAAAGTTTGCAAAGCCACTGCAGCAAGCCCAAAACCTTGTCCATCGTCCTGCGACGCACATGACGTCCGGAAAGCGCCTCCTGGAGCAAGCGCTTGAGCTTGAGAGACTTGTCCAACGGCACACAGAAAGCGCCGCTCCCAAAGCCAAAACGCCAGCCTATCCACACTATGCCTCTACCAAGCTGCAATTTTGCGTGCGACACTGGGATGCCGAACATAGCACAGAAGGCGAGGACAAGGCAGGAAAAGAGCGCTATGACGTCCTCATCTTGCAGGAGGGGGAAGTCGTCGACATAACCCAACAGGGCGTGCCGCAACCAAAGCCAAAGGTGCAGCACCCTAAGGAAGAAACTTCCAAGTCTTTGAAACCAAAGCGCTGAAAAGTTTGCGCCAAAGGGGCAGACTTGGTAGAACAAGTACCTAGGGCCAGAGCCATCAGCCGATGGCAAGGTCACGCCTAAAAGGCCCTGGTCGGAGGGGCGAACTCGCACAGTTTTGTGAGCCGACTTAACGTCTAAGGCAAAGCCAGCAAGTTTGCCTGCGTGCATCCTTAATGGAAAACACTCGCGCACGTCATCAACGCTGGGCAAAGAGAAAGTCTCTGGTATGACACATGAAGGGTTCGTCCCGCAGATGGTCGAGTCAACGACTAGGCGTGGCGTTTACCCTGGAGCGTTGACGATGGACATCTTGCCAACGGCAAGCTTGTTTCCAAACCGCTCCTGTGCCAAGGCCAAAGAATCCACTTCAAAAAGCCAACCTTTCGCGAGCTCTTCTTCCACCAGTGCACGCAAGGTTGCTGGGTCAGCTTTTGCACTGCTAGAATTGCCATGGCAGACGGCGACCTCTTGGGCAAAAGGATGGCCAGAGCCTTGAGGCACGAGGACATTGGAGAGAGGTATGCCGGCGTCAAAGCCAGTTGGGACGCCAGAAAGCAGGCACGGGAACAGCGTGGTATCTCGATCTGAGCAGATGGCAGAGACAAGCTGCAAAGCCTCCAGGCAATAGGGTTGCCCTTCGGCTACACTCCAAGAAACTTGCTTAGGCTTGGGGAGTGAACAAAGCCAATGCTCAAAAATGCCGCGCAGAGAGGCGATCTCTGACGCTTGAAGGCCTCTGGTGATTGTAACTCACAGAGGTAGCGCAAGCGTGCAGGGCGCCGGTTTTGAAGGAGGAAGTCCAACAACTTTGGGCAAAGACATCTATTGCATCCTGAGGAGGTATGCTCCAATCAGGGACAGAAAAGGAGCCTGAACGCCTTGAGCCAAGAGACTTGAGGATGGTGTTGAGTTAGGGATTTAACGGGACGGTACAGACAACAGTTTTCAAACAGAGGTTTCACAAACCGGTTCCAAACCCTTGCAAAACGCAAACTTGGCAACTGACATGTCTGATGCAACGCACTTGATTGTTTTCTCACAATGTGTGCAAGCTGTACCTCAATCTGTGCCTCATACCTGCGCATGCAACCTTGTACCTTGCACCTTGGCTGAACCTGGCACCTTGCACCTATGCACCTTGCAAGCGGGTACCTGGACAGGCGTGTGATGTCCAATCCCCCCCAGACAAGAAACGCCACTACGGCGACTCGAAGAGACAAGGGGAAACCCGTAATTAAATGAATTGAGACAGGCAGGGAGTTGTGAGCCGCCCCGCGGACCCTGGCCTGTCCCAACGCATGGCAAGCTTTACAGCGAGTTTGTATCATTAACGTGTGCCACCACAAGGGCGGGCTGGGTGGGTCAAAACTAAAGACTTAGGCCAAAATCTCACAAGAACTCTGAGTCAAACTTTGCACGTGCAAGTTTCAACTGCAAGCTGGCTGCAAAACCAAAGACCGAAGTAGTTTCACGGAGTGCCAAATCAAAATTTTCGGTTTTTCTAATCCGGAGGCTCTGTAGCCGGCATACAAGGGACTAATCGGAAACCTGCCCCAAATCCAAAACCCACCCACCACCCTCAAGGCT